TTTGGTGTTATTAAAACAATGTCATCAGCAAAGCGAAGGTGGTGTAGTTGCCGACCATCTATCTTCACTCCCATTCCTTCCCATTCCAGTCGTCGCATGATGTTCTCGAGGGTGGCACTGAAGAGTTTTGGTGAAATGGTATCACCCTGCCGCACCCCTCTCTTGACATCAACGATCACTTCTTTGTAGAATGGTGAGATCCTGGTAGTGAATCCGCAATACAGCTCACGGAGGATCCTGATGTATTGGGCTTGAATGCCCTGATTGGCTAGGGCTTCAATGACCGCTTCCGTCTCAACAGAATCAAAGGCCTTCTTTAAATCAATGAACGTTAAGCAGAGCGGCATCTTGAACTCCCGAGAAACCTCAATGAGTTTGGTTATCGTGTGGATATGGTCGATGGTGCTGAATCCTTTGCGGAACCCTGCTTGCTCACATGGTTGTCCTTCATCTAGTGTTCTGCCAATCCTATTCAGGATGACTCGAGTGAACAACTTGTAGATGACAGACAATAGGCAGATCGGGCGATAGTTGCCAATGTCATGGATGTCTCCCTTCTTGAACAGTAGTACGGTCCTGCTGGTTTTCCATTGAGATGGAACCTTGCATTCAGACAGGTAGCGAGTGAAGAGCCGAGCCAGTGTATTGATGAGTACTGACGGCAGGTTCTTCAGGTGTTCAGGTCTGACCTTGTCTGGGCCGGGTGCTGTTTGCTTCTTTACTGACGAAATGGCGTGTCGGATTTCGGAAGGGAGAACGTTGGGAACGACATACCCATCCTGTGGAATTTGGTATGTCGGCAAGTGGACATGGCTATCGAAGAGATTTGAGTAGAAGTCATGGATAATCTTCTCCATTGCCGTTCTGGAGGATGTGATGGATCCATCAGGACGTCGGAGGGCAGTCATCTTGGTCTTATAGTTGGCGAAGGACAGGCGGGCGTTACGAATACTCTTCCCGGCTTCTGCCGCATCTACCAGTACTTCTGCTCTTCTCTCTTTGAGGTCCTCCCTGATCGCATCTCTGCACTGCTTTGCAAGCTCGGACGTTAGCTTGCGGTTGCCTGAGGCATGCGCCAAACCACGCTGGTGAATTAGCTCAAGAGTTTTCGAAGATAGGCGACTTTTTGTGGCTATCTCTCTCTTGGCGTTCCTCGCACATTCATGGAGGTGCTGAACCAGTCGATCGTATTCCTCGTCAATGTTGTCAACAATGGCATCTTCCCATGTTGCCGCAATAGTACCAAAGAGTTCCCAGTTGGTGGTCGTTCTGGGAGTTCTCTTTTTGAACTTTGCAGCCCTTTCTCCCCGCTCTGTGAAGTAGAATTTTGCACGAAGGAGACGGTGGTCCGATCCCGTTCGAAATTTTGGGACAACAGCGACATCAGTCAGGCAAAACCGTCGATTGAATATGATGTGGTCTATTTCGTTGTGGAATCGTCCACCGGGAGACTCCCATGTCCATCGTTTAGATTCTGCCTTCTGGAACTGTGAGTTACCATGAATGGTCTTGGTCGACATGATGAACTCAGACAGTCTCTCACCCTGTTCGTTCCATTCTAGGCCATGGGTTCCGATGTGAAGTTCTTCAGCTGATCTTCTCGGTCCTATCTTGGCATTAAAATCACCCACAATGATCTTGTAGAAGGTGTGGTCTTCTTTATAGAACTTCTCTAGCTCCATGTAGAACTTCTCGATTTCTCTTTCATCATAATAAGATGTTGGTGCGTAGACAACGAAGATAGAAACTGCAGGCAGTGAGCCACATCTATTCACTACTTCCACTACCCAGCCGTCGCCACACTCCAGGACGCTTTCCGGACCCGCGCGGCCGCTTCATAAGACACTAAATACCCGTCTTCTGGAATTGTCGTACCATATTTGATAGGGTTCAAATATGGTAACACCTACAAGGGTGATTAGAGGTCACCCCAAAAGCCTCTATACCTCTCGGAAAGACTGGCAAGCTACCGAGAGTATTCCGCCCGCACGGAAGAGCCTGGCAAGCTATCCGCTGTGTATTCGATATGCCAAAACCAGTAACTACAACTGGTCTCATTCACCTGACCCTGAAGGCTTCACCGACATGGCAGCACTGAGAAGGATGAGAAAGGAGAGGCCGACAAAATCTCAAGGCCGACCTAGGCTGCCACAACGAAGGAAGACAAAAATGATCGTCTGTACTTTCAATGCACGTACGCTAGCATCAGATGCATCCATCGAGGACCTGATGGTACAAGCGCGAATGATCAAGTACAACATCATTGGTCTGACCGAGACAAGAAGACACGAATCTCACCATGCCGTTTTCGACACTGGAGAAGAATTGTTCCTCGGAACATGCGATAAAAGAGGTGTTGGAGGCGTCGGTGTCCTTGTCAACACAAACTTGGCCAAGAGCATTGATTCATTTGAATGCCTAACAACCCGAATCGGACGTTTACCCTGTACATATCTGGTCTTAAGTCTTTCCTAAGTAGTCATCATTTTCCCTTTAAATTATTTCTTTGATTTGCATAAACTACTCTGTATTTTATGTTCTAAAATACTGGCGGCAATCTCTTGTCTATTAATTTTGTTCTCACACATTCTATGTCCTTCATACCTTCTTAGCCCTTTGCACATTTTAATTTCTTTCAAGAGTTGGGGAATCAAGGCATGTGTTGACTCTGTCATGCTAAACTGGAAGTTCTTCTCACTTGTCAGGTAGGGAATTTCAAAGAACCAGATTTATATCCTTCCCCTCACCCCCCACTTTGTCGTCATAAAATATTTCTGGCTTCTGACTTCACCATTCAAGTTCTAGATCTGTGTTTGCATCTGCCTCTTTGAGCACCTATACAAAAACTAACTCATTACCTTTTGTAAATCAGTCTTCTTTTGTACTTACAGCTACCTGCAGTGGAAACTGGAATATTATCTGTGGTTTCTCCTTCTTATCAAGTCTCCCTCCGCATAATCATAGAGCAAGGCTCCTTAATTCCACCTGCAAAGTTCTCCTACTCCGTTCTTAACAACCCACTCTCTGCCTGGTAAGTCGTACTCCCTTGGATACTGCCCATTCTCTTATTCCCATTGTGCCTTCACATTTAGTTTAAATACCATCACTTCCATTAAGTCTTTCTTTTTGCTTTCTATGCTCAGTAAATTATTTCTTCTATGAAAGACTCCTGCTCTTATTAACATTTCTCTTATTCACTTAACACATAAGACATTTCTTGGAAGTTTATATGTGCTTTACTTCCTCTATTAGTTTATGAGTTTAAGAGTCTTTGAAGAAATCTATCTTTGATCTTCCACATAACAGTGGAATTCTCAGTGGAATTCAGTATTTTCATTAAAACTTCAGCATTTTTACTGAAATTATGACCAACGAAGAGAAAAAGAGAAGACACAGCCAGCCCCTTACTTCTTCCAGAAAAAACTGTGTATCTACAACTGCTACTGCATCCACAGCATGTCGAAAGAAAATGAGCTGCAATTAAGATAGAGAAGAAAGGCTTTTATATTGAATTTTGTCACTGTCAATTTATTCTCAATTATATAGCATTAAATAGCTGTATGTAACAGTATGGCTATACAAAAGGAAGCTGGCAAAAATTAATAGGTAAATCTAGAAAAAAAATATACTAAATGCTAATTGTATTCTGAAATTGTCTTCAAATTAGAAAAATTTTTTGATATAAGTTCTTTCAAATTTTACTAATTACTGACACAAAACCTGAAAGCTAAGAAATTTCATTTTGACCAATTTCTTCAACTACAAGAAGTGTGCAACGAAAGCGCCTATGTTTTGTATTTCGGACTCCGGCTTGTTAAAAGATCTCATGCTGCTTCCAGTATAGGCACACGGGATTAACCAAAACAAAGATGACTAAAGGCAGTGAAATGACAACCATGCAGATACTCTGCACCGTCTCAGCAGGAATAAGGGTCAGCTGAAGACACAGAAAGAAAGGGGCAAAATAAAGAGATGACATAACAAGAAATATGTGTGATATTCTAGGAAGAGAGGAAGAAATAATATAATGAAAAAGCTAATAAAATGGACAAATAAGAGTTCTAGGGTAATAAAAAAAAAAACTTGGAATATGATGACCATTTCGGATAAAAGCTTGCTAAAGGGTATATTAGCTCAGTGGTAGGTACATGCCTTGAGTGTGTGAGGCCCTGAGTATGACTGCTGGCACCACACACATACACAAACACACATAAAGTAAGTCTGAGATAAGCACATTCACTTAAACTACAGTGTAAACTAGAAATATTCATTTAGGCAGACACTCCAGGAGAACAGGAATTTTGGTGCTTTCTGGTACTTTTTTTTTTTTTAAATCTACTAATATATCTCCATGTGAACAAAAGAATGCCAGGGAAAAAATGCCATTACTACGAACAAACTCTCTATAAAGCATTTAGGTACAGATACAAAGAAAGTATAAATAGAAAATTTAAGAGAAGCAGTCTGATTTGCTTCTCATCATTCCCTTTATGCATGTTTTAGCTTTTATCATATGTCTTCTACTATCATTAAAAGATCACAATTATCTGCAATAGATTACCACAGAGCAGGTTCTTCAGATGTGTTCATAGAATCGCTGTCAAAGGCATCACCAGTTTCTCAGAAATGCACACTTTAGGTTCTATTCAAGACACAGTGAACTGAAGCTTTGTAGACATGGCACAGTTATCTGGAGTTTTTGTTCAGACAGGCAACAGCAGGTGTGGCACCCACTCCCAACCAGTACTTTTTTGAAAAAGATACTCCACTCATACTGGATAAAATGACAAACTCTCAGTTTGTCATTAATCCTGAGAAGGAGCAAAAACTTTAAAAACCGTAAGCGTTATGGTTTATTTATAAAAGTATGATTTTTTGTAATTTTATTAAGAATTTATGATAAAATTTAATAACATCAAACAACCACTAATTCATCAGGCAAAAATCACACAGAAACATCAACTTACAATGAAAATATATTTTTTTTAAAATGTACTTACTTTAATGTTTCAGCAAGAAAGAAGCTTTGCTGAACATCATCATGTGTTGGAGTGGAGGAATACACATCCTTCACCCCCGAAAATCCACTACTGACACGACAATACTTTTCAATAGCCTGTGGAAGTAACCAGACAAAAGATCAATTTCATAGAATTTCACATTTAAGGAATAAGGAATCACAATAAACAATTCACAGATCTCCATGAGAATGTGACAGAATTCAAGTACTGAATGAAAACATTCGCATACTGGAAAGTTAATTGAGATGTTCTATTTCCTGCTGAATTTCTCTACCTCTGGACATTTTAAATGTTTGTATGATAGCTTATATTTCCCTAATTTTGTAGTCAAATTTAGGTTATTGAAACTGAATAATAAGTAAGCCACAGTAAGTGCCATTCATTCTGATAATTCAAATAGAAGGTCAAATGAATTTAAATCGTTTAAAGCAATTTTGTTATTTCCAAGATAAACAACAGGTCAGAACATTCTTTTAAAAAATAATACTTAGGAACCATAGAAATAGTACAGTAGGCAAGGCAAGTCTTGCCTTTTCAGATGGGAAAACAATAATCTGACACATTATTAATATTGTGTTCTACCACAAATGACTGAAAGCTATAATTATTCATTTATATCTCTTTGTACATCCTGAATATGTCTAAATAAAACGAAACTCCAAATCCACTAATAACTTTGTTTTTAATACAAAGCAAACATCTTCTTATAAAGGTATAGTATACTCCTGAATTAGGCTATTTATGCAAAACTGAGAGTGTATGTGATCTCTTCCTGATTGAAGCTACTATGAGATGTTGTTGAATTAAACTTTAGAATTTATTATATATGGTTCTTATATTTGCTCGAGCAGGCCCAGTAACGTCTCCATTGGAGACTTCGTTGTTACTGTGTCTGGCATATCGAATACGTCACGGGGAGCTTGCCAGGCTCTGACGTGCGGGCGAGATACTCTCGGTAGCTTGCCGGGCTCTCCGAGAGGGGCGGAGGAATCGAACTCGGGTTGGCCATGTTGGCTGCGTGCAAGGCAAACGCCCTACCGCTGTGCTATCACTCCAGCCCATATATATAAGAGCCCCAGCAGCTGAAGACCTCCGGGACTCAGCCATAGCCATGTTGAGACCACTCTCCACACGCTCAGATGAACCTCACACATGAAGGAAGCAGTAGAGGAACCCAGGTGTGCAGGACCCGGGGCTGAGATCTCCAAGTCTGCTCGGTTTGGGACTGGGCTCCCCTACCCAGATCCCCCATCTTCCAGTAGCTAGACAGTTACACCCACCAACTGCGGTGTAACCCCATCAATGGCCCAAGATCCAGAGACTATAAAACCAAGCTCCCAGAAGCGCACAGCCACATTCGAGGCCGCGCTACCTCTTATTCTCTAGTTCTCACTCTCAGAGAACCCGGCAGGCTACTGAGAGTATCCTGCCTGCACATGTGCCGGACTGGGAACACCTTTAAAGGTGATTAGAGGCTGCCCCAAACACCTCCATCCCTCTTGGAGAGCTGGGCAAGCTACTGAGAGTATTCTGCCCGCATGGCGGAGACTGGCAAGCTACCCATGGCATACTCGATATGCCAAAAACAGTAACAATGATGGCCCTCATTCCCCTGACCCCAAACGAGCCCCCAATATGCCACTGGGCTACACTAGCACATGACGGACAAATGGTGACATTACTGGTGCCCGCTCGAGTGGGTCAATGAAAAACGAGGTGATAGTGATACGGTTCTTAATTATCATTTTGCGACTTTTTTGTCCCTAGCCTGATGACTTTTCTGGTCTTTTGCCTTGCTCAGGAAAAGTTAATTAACACTAAAAGTGTTTATTTAATGAAACTTGATTTTCATACCGTTTCAATTTTACTGCAAGTGGATTTTAAATCATACCAAAGGCTAGTATCCTTTAAATACTTTAGGCATATTTTGAATATAAGTATTCAAAACCACCATTTGTTACAAACGGGCTTTCTTTCCAACTTAACTGGCAGAGAAATATAAGGATATTGAAAAACAACATGAAGGCATGATAGGCCTTCGGATCATGTAGAGTTCTCTCTCCTGCTCTCTCTTTTTAAAAATTTAGTCACTGTGAAATTACAAAGTCATTCGTGGCGGGGTTTCAGGCACACAGCGTTTCAACACTGACCCCTTCAACAGAGTCCATTTCCCTCCACTCCTGAAGGCAACTTTTCATGCACAGTATACTTGTTCAAAAATTTTAAGATACAAATGAACTACATAAATAAAGCTATAGAAGACACAAACTACCATTATTCTGTCTGTCTCAGCCTGTCTCTACTTTCTTCACACTCCAGAGAGGATCCAGTTTGGGACTCTGGGGGAATGAGACAAGCAAAGGGTTTGAAGATGTGATTTCTCTTTGGGCCGCCAATACAGAATAGCAGGGGAGCGAGCTTGCCTTGCACATGGTCAACCTGGTTCAATCCCCAGTACCACACGTGGTCCCTTGAACCTGCCAGGAGTGAGTGATCGATCCCTGAGCACAGTCGGGAGTAAGCATTGAGCACAGCTAGGTGTGGCCCCAACCACCCTCCCTCAAATGCATCCTCTTCTCTTATTCCATCCTCCTTTCTTTATCATGGTATACCTTTGAAATTTAGATCAAGAACATAATTATTTGATTTATTGTTCATGACAGATTTTACCTTGCATGGTTTCATACAGACTACAGAAGGAAAATCTCAACTCCTTCAAATTTGGAGTCAAATTGAGACAAATGCAGGTTACATAAAGTTCGACCTTGTCAAAACTCTTCTTAATAATTTAAGAGCAGGGTCATACTTTCAGAAGGCACTAAGTGGGGAGCGGAACCTTCACAACAACAAAGATAAATTATTCGATAGCTTCTTTTCTTACCTTTTTAAATTTTTTTTGTTTTGGACCACACTTAGTGGTGCTCGGGGCTTATTTCTGGCTCTGTGCTCAGGGATCACTCCTAGCAGATTCGGAGTACCATATGTGTTGCCAGGAACTAAACCCTGGTCAGCCACATGCAAGGCAAGTGCCCTACCCACTGTACTATTGCTCCAGCCCAGTATTCTACAGAGGATGTTTTCTCTTTGCAAATTTTGTCATAGTTCCTCTGAATTCTTTAGGGAGCTCTGAAGTGTAGGAAACAAAGGAAAGGAAATCTGCAGAAAGCTCTTTAGAGAGGTAAAGGATTTTCTAGCACCACCTTCCATGAGTAACTGAAAGGAGTGTGTGAGTGTGTGTGTGTGTGTGTGTGTGAGTGTGTGAGTGTGTGTGTGTGTATGTATGTATGTATGTTATTCTAAGCTATTGAGAAATCTTTGATCTGGCATAGAGAACCATCTATATGATGACTCTAACTTTTTTCCCTCTGGTTGTCTTTGTGAAGCTTTTTATATAAATTTGGGAACATTAAAGAAAACACATCTTGGATATTCCTGGGTGGGAGCACATCTGGTGGTGCTCAGGGCTTACTTCTGGAACTGTGCTCAGAGATCAAAGCTGGTGCAAATGGAGGTAAAAATGGATTTGCGCTCAGGAGTTATCCCTCACTGTAAAGGTTGCAGGGGCCACATATGGTGCTGGGACTTCAAACCGAGTTGACGTATGCATGGCCTTACTACCATACTGTCCCTCTGGCCTGAAATTATGAATTCCTTTTAAAAAAATCTAAAATTTGTATAATTTATTTTTCATCTACGCGGGAGCGATAGCACAGTGGGTAGGGCGTTTGCCTTGCACGCAGGCAACATGGCTGACCTGAGTTCGATTCCTCCGCCCCTCTCGGAGAGCCCGGCAAGCTACCGAGAGGATCTCGCCTGCACGGCAGAGCCTGGCAAGCTACCCGTGATGTATTCGATATGCCAAACACAATAACAAGTCTCAATGTTACTGGGCCCGCTCAAGCAAATTGATGAATGGGAAGATAGTGATAGTGAAAGTGGTAGTGGTTTTTTTATCTAGAGAAATTTAATTGCATTTAATTTTGCCAATAGTTTATTTTATTAAGGTGCTCTGATTTACAATATTGTTAAGAGTTTCATGCATCCATTCTCCAAACACTTCACCTAGCACCAGAGTGCCTGCTTCCCTCCACTAACTCAAAGATCCTTCCTATGATAATTTTTTAAAATTTACTCAGAACACATGCTGGAGTGAATCTGGGCAGTTTTACAATGATTTCTATCCCCTTCCCTCCCAATGGGGCATATAGAGAAACTAGGTTAATGATGAAAAAAAAAATACCTCTAAAATGACTGTTTATTAATTCAATAAAAATAATGAACAAATGTTAGCAAAAAAAATTATCGTAACCAGAAATAAATCCTAAGACTTCCACTGCTTACGAAACTTAAACTGACTCACATTTTTCATTACATAAATCCAAGAAAGCCTAGACTCAATAGACATGAGCTAACAATGTTGAGGACACAAGACACTCTGAGAGGGTCTGATATCAGCAATAAAGCAATGTATGTAGCCATAGAAGTCATGTATGTGCAGAAGCACGGAGAGTAACGCTGGCGTATTTACCAGAGCCGCTTCCCAGCCCCACTGCCTGTATCGTGGATCGTGAGTGAAGCGCCACAGGTACCAATAGGTTTCAATGACTTCCGGACGGAGGATGTAATACTTCTCATTCTGCCGAACGGCCACGGCCTCCACCGCACCATCAAACTTGAATGATTCAGGACCCAATTTCAATGCTGCAACATGTCGGGATAAATACATGAGCACAATGGAACATTTGTGTCTGTGTTTTTTTCTCCCCTGAAAGAATGGGATATACACTAGAAACCAGCAAAAAATTAAGAATTTTTTTCTGATTTCTCACATTATCTCTCTTGGTCTTTCTTTCTTCCTTTCTGCTTCTTTTTTATTTATTTAAAAATTTATTTTATTTTTATAAAGTTCAAAATTATATTAATATTTTATTATTAAATTTCAGTATTTCATATTTAATATCCCAACACCAATCCCAAGAGCATCACACCTACCCACTACCATATTTTGAATGCTTTCACCCTAATGATCCAAAAAAATTTCCTTAGAGGAAGGTGTGTGAAGATTACTGTATTTCACCCTGAAGCCATTAATCTCTCTCTCTCTCTCTCTCTCTCTGAAGCTTTTCCCTTTTTTGTTTTATGGCTTTTTGGGTCACGCCTGGCGATGCTCAGGGGTTACTTCTAGGTCTGCACTCAGGAATTACTCCTGGCAGAACTCGGGGACCATATGGGATACCGGGGGTTGAACTATTGAACCTGGGTCAGGTGCATGCCAGGCAAATGCCCAACCCACTATACTGTCGCTCCAGCCCCTACATTTTCTTTCTTAATGAGGAGGGGGAAAGAACTGATGAGATGCTGGGTGTGATTCACAGCTGGGTGTGACCCAAAACCAATTAAAAAATAATTTTATAAACACTCTACCTCACACTTAGCTACAAGAATTTCTCTTAAATTTCCCTTTTATGCTATTTCATCTAAAAGCAACCCAATATTTAAAAAACTGAGCCACCCCCCGCCCCGAGACACACACACACACACACACACACACACACACACACACACACACACAATGGTGGCTGAGTAAAAGAACTCTAGAACGTGCAAAAGCCGTATCTCAAACCCTGATCTCAAGGATGTGTGCAAGGCACCCTCAGGTTTGTTCTGTTTTGCTTCGTTTTTTGTGTTTTGAGGTGCTGTTGTCCTTTAATGCTTTGCCAAACCCTAAAATCAGCGTTCTTTTAGCCCAAGTAGAGTTACTAGTGTTCTCACCAGTTCTGTCATAGGACTCATGGCATGTGTGGGCGATCTCTGCCCCTAGCTCTAGGTAATGACCGGCTTTATCCATCTGGGAGCCGTCCGCTCCCAGTGCAAACATTCCCCCGGCAAAGCAGGCCAAATGCCCCATCTTTTTTTCCAAGTGTCCGTTCTTCCATTCGCCAATAAAGGTAAGACCTCCACGGGACTTCTTAATAAGATGTTTCTCTATGGCCTGCAAAAAATATTCAAAAAATTTAGAAGACATTGTTAGCATTCAATTCGCCACACCCTTTTAGTTGGTGTCAAAATGTTGTCAGAGAATCTATTCTAGAATGTAGTTCCTTTCCCAAATGGAGAGGCGTAATTGTTGATGTTCTGGGTTGAGTAAGCAAGTTGCACGTAACTTGAGCAAATGTCCCCACCTCTCCCCAATTCGAGGTGAGAAAGGGGAGATCTGGCTTAAAAATCACTGTTTAAGATGCTACTACTGATTTAAAAAACTTTATTCTTGAGCCAAATAAAATTCGTATGATTATTCGGTGAAGAATAACCTACAAGAAGCCACAAAAGGCTCTGTCACGTTTATTTCCTTTTTCATCCAAGGAAAGATAAAACTACCAAAAATAAATAAATAAATAAATAAAATAAAAAACCTACATGATTTTGATTTTTCCATGCCACTACACCTCTTGTCATACTTTACAGGATGCTATGCCTGTGGTTCAAAGAGAATTCATGATAAACACATGGGCTGGAGCGATAGCACAGTGGTAGGGCGTTTGCCTCGCACGCAGCCAACATGGCCGACCCGAGTTCGATTCCTCCGCCCCTCTCGGAGAGCCTGGCAAGCTACTGAGAGTATTTCGCCCGCACGGCAGAGCCTGGCAAGCTACCCGGGACGTATTCGATATGCCAGACACAGTAACAACAAAGTATCCGATGGAGACGTTACTGGGCCCGCTCAAGCAAATGATAAACACAGTTCATCCATTTTTGTCAGATTTACTCAAGTTTTGAAGATGGCAATAGAAATATTTACACTGAACTTCAAATTGCATTTCACGATCACGATCATCATGTTGTTCTTCGATTGCCTCGAGCAGGCACCAGTAATGTCTCCTTCGTCCTAGCCCTGAGATTTTTTTTTAAAAGTGCCACATTCAAGGCTCTTTCAGGATTAGGAGAATGAGACCCATCATTGTTACTGGTATTTGGCATATTGGGGACGCCACGGGGAGTTTGCCAGACTCTGCCGTGTGGGCAGGTTACATTCGGTAGCCTAAATTGCATTTGGTCACCAGAAATGCCGAGGGCCTGGAGCGTCCCTCCCAGAGACGCCTGGGCCCAATTCTGGAGACTGATTGTTGGTTCTTGGGCCTGGGACTGCAGCACTGCCCAGGCTCAGCAGTGCTGGGCATCAGAGTCATTCCTGCGGGTGCTCGGGAGCCAGGGGGTGCTGAGAAATCAAACCTGAGCTTTTGTACAGGCACTTCGCAATTTTGAGCTATCTCCCCAGGCCTAAAAAAAATTTCAGCGCTTTGTTCCTCTATTCTATGATCAACCTTTGCTAAGAAAGGAAATGAAGTTAATCCTCTCCCTTTAGAAGTACTTTAATGGAATCAGAAATTGCACCAATTAAATTCCCTTTGTTAGAAATTATTACATAGCAGACATTATAGTTTCGAACAATAAAAACATTATCTCATGTTTTCCATGCTGTTCATTTTCTGATGAGTTTAACAATGATCAAGTTCAGAAAACTTATTCCGTGTGCTTCATAATAATAATGTAGGTTTTACAAAACTACAAAAATAAAAAGAGAGTATGCCTGGTAGAGCATCTTATGTCCCACAAAACTCTATATGTACAACATACAATCAATAAACAATAGCCATTTCATAAATAAATGACATTCAGATAACTATATTTGGTCCGTTAGCAGAATGACAGGTGGCTGATAAGCAAAATGATCAGGGACAACCACCAGACCCTAAGGTTTTACTCTTAATGCTATTTTCTTTCCTTCATAATTATTACTGAGCACAAAGGAAAAGATTTGGGGGTAGAATAATGTTTTTCCTCTGTGGAGTTCATGTCATGTTTTCCTCAATAAGGCACTCAAGAAATGTATCAAGAACAATATTCATTATAAACCTCTAACATTTTCCTATTCTTATTCATCTGAAGATAAATCTTACTTTGCTACAATTAAAAGATAACTAAACATACCCATGAATTTAATACGATTAAAGTAAATTTGAACTGGCAAATTTCACCTCTGAAATTTTCTTGCATAGCTCCTGTCTCTGTGACAAATACTTTAGAGTTCGACTTATATAAAATGAGAAACTACTAAATCAAAGCGGTATAACAGCTCTTGCGGTCAGAAATTTTTAAACAGTCCAGGTAGATAGGTGAAAGGACTAGAGAAAGTGTTATCCCTGACACTGCATGACCCCGACTGTCGCCCTGAAGACTCCCAAGTACTACTGGAGGTGGCCACGTGGCCCCTGTGTATTGCTTGGTCGACTATCATGAACCTCAGGCCTCCTGGGTGTCAGCAGAACTCCAAGACGATCTGGCTCAGTTGGTCAAGTATCATTGGTAGTGGTGCCCAGGCTCTGAGCATGGCTTGGGAGGGGATGGTCAAACAAATCTTCACAAATTTCTCAAGAAACTTTTGCTGAATCCTTACAATGAGCAAAACCACAATGTGCCTGTATAGTTTTCTAACAAGTATAGAGGTCTACTGATCCCTAGTAGGACATTATCCTTAAAGAGCAAGGATAAAATGAATAATTGATCGTAGGCCTAATTTAATACAAGCCCACCACAACTATAATTCTAAATAACCATCACTGACAACAGCCAAAATAGGCTTTAATGAAATTAATTTTTAAAAAGTGATTAAAATTATTAAAGGAATATGGGTTTATACAGGACCTGAAAGCAAATAATTTGAGCTAACTTTCCTTTCTAATTAACGTTTCTGCTAAGAAAACATCACATATATAAGCACTGCAAGAATAAAATGAGTTCCAATTTTAAACCATCACAAGACTGTGCTCTGAGATTACATATGTAGACACAACACAGTACAGTGGTTAAGAGCAGTTTCAGATGCCTTCACTTAATAGCTATACAGTCTTTGCAGGGTTAACCCCTCTGCCTTTAAAATATCCTGTGTGAATTGGTAGCAAAGACGAAAAAAATCTCACACATATGAAAAGGGACACCAGCAGTGCTTTTCTATGAAAAATATGTAAGCACTTTGTCCTTTTTATGTACCCGTAGAACTCCCAGTATGTAGGTTCAACGGTCGTTTCATGCTCAGGGATCCTGTTGTGGCCTGGGGGACATATTGGGCACTAGGGATTGAGTCCATGTCCGGAGTGTTAAAGTGCACTACCTGCAGTACGCTGGCTCTAACCCTCACTGGGTCATTTGAAATAAAAAAACGTGTATGAAAATGTATGAGAAGTCAGAAGATTTCCCAGTCTCTCTCAGTGATAACTGAAAGCAATTAATTTTTTTCATAATATGTCTAGACGAAATACTTTCAAGAATTTCTCTTAAAATGCCACAATAAGCCGTCCCCCACGCCCCACCGAGGTCGCCAGCTGCCCCCCACGAGCGGCTCTCCGGCACGGCCACGGCCCCGGAGGCACAAGGACTTAGCACAGAGAACCAGCCGCTTGGAGCAGAAAAGCAAATGGACTTGTGTTGATCCGCGCCACCAAGCCTGCCCGGAGGGGGAAGGGCGTTGACCGGCCCGCCCGCTCCTCTCTGGAAAGAAAGATGGCGGCCGCACGGGAGCCTTGTGGAAAGCAGGTTTGAGCCGGGCTCGGGGGAGCGGCGGGGACCTCATGGGAAGGGGGGCTTTGTGGGCCGTCCCCCACGCCCCACCGAGGTCGCCAGCTGCCCCCCACGAGCGGCTCTCCGGCACGGCCACGACTCCAGGGCACAGAAATCAATCTCTTAACTAGCTAACTTTTAATAGAAATTCTTCCAGGGTCAATGGGTAAAATAGCAGAAATTCAATTTGCGATAGCAGTCGTGCGACATCATTTTATTCTTAAACCAAGTTGTAGAAAGCAAATCATTTCACAACGCTGTTTCAGCATGTCTGATTGGGGGGGGGGGGGGGGGGTGGGTCGTAAACTCTAAACTATAATTGTGCATCTTCTATCGAAATAATCTATCTAGTCAAAGTAGATAGAGTATTAACTAGAACTCATCTGCCTCATAAGAATTGGGAGGGGTGGGAGGTGGGGGTCTATTGGGGTTCGGGGTTAAAAATGAGTATTGGTAAAGGGAAATGTGTTCGGTATCTACATGACTGAGACCTAAACCCGAAAGCTCTGTAACTTTTCCCACAGTGATTCAATAAATAAATAAATTATTAAAAAAATAAATAATAAAATAAAATAAAATAAAATAAAAAAAAATGCCACAATAAAAGGAAAACTCAAATTATTATAAAATAAAGAAAACTTCATCTTACATTAAAATATAAGTGTTCCTTTATTGTGGTATCTAAAAATATAATATACCAGGGACTATAGTGATAGTACAACACATAGGTGTTTGCCTTGCAGGCGGCCAACCCAGTTTCAATCCTCAGTATTACACACGGTCCCCCGTGTATAGGAGTGATCCCTGAGTGCAGAGTCAGGAGTAAGCCCTGAGCACTGCCAGGTGTGGTCCCAAAACCAAATACACACACACACACACAGAATATATTTATATATGCAGTAAATTATACTTGAATATTCATACAGCAAAAACAATTATAAGATGCTTATCTGTCACTACCAAATATATCATCTATTCAATGTTAAATGGGAAAATATTTTAATAATAATCACCTCAATAGCTTCATCGTACATCCGTCTTGCATCATGATCTGTTTTATCTGACATCAACCATGCTTTTAGTAAGTATTCATAAAAGCTGTCTCCCAGCCCACCAACAGATGTATGATCTGTAACAAGAGAAAAGAGAAGGATAGAGGTAGAAAGAAGACAGAGAACAGTGATTTTCAATTATAATGACTATACGATACATCAGTAATTTAAACATTATATTTACCTCCCCATTTCAATGTATTTAAAATTCAGTCAAGAGTGTACCATAACCGCTCTCCTCTACAATCATGTTCAACTTTCTCGAAGATCTTTTCCTGCTGAATGTGGTATATCATATATTTAAGAGTCTTTTTCTACAGCTTGTACACTGCCACATATTCAAACTTTTCTAGAACTGGAAAAATTAGTTCTCTTGTATTATTGGTTTTAACTACCTAGCTGTGACTAAGTGTACCTTTTCTTCAAAAATATGGCTAGTGGTTACGTTTTTCCTGTCTCCTTTCTCCCCACGCCACCCTTCTTCTTCTTCTTTTTCTTTTTCATTAGTGAAACACCATGAGGTACAGTTGTAGACTTACAAATTTTTGTGCTTGGGTCTCAGTTATACAATGATCAAGTACCCACCCCCTCACCACCCCACCCTTCTTTTGCACTCACTTGCAAGAACAGGCTCTCACTCTTTTGTGGTGCTGGGGACTGAACCCAGGGCTTCGTATATGCAAAGTAAATGCCCCAATGATGAGCTTGTCCCTAATCAGTCCTTCCTTCCCTCTCTTCCTCCCTCCCTCCCCTCCCCTCCCCCTTTTCCTCTTTCTTTTTGGTTTCTGGGCCACATCAAGTGATGCTCAGCGGTTACTCCTGGCTCTGCACTCAGGAACTACTCCTGGCATTGCTTGAGGGACCACATGGGACGCTGGGGACTGAACAGGAGTTGGCTGTGTGTACTAATGCTCCTGACGCTGGTTCAATCCCTGCCTGGATAAGAACTGCAGGAGTGGCCCTGAACACCCCAGCATCTCTGGGGTGTCCTTGGTGGTCATCAGTACTGCAGAGGACCACATCCTTGGATTTTAGAATTCACTGTCCAGACAGACTAGCATCTCCAGGACTAATTTCTATGCCCCCTGAGTAGCACTAGGGAGGCCCTCCGCACCCCCAGCCCCCACTAGAAAAGAAGCTAGGATCACTGTCACTGTCCTCCCATTGTTCACCGATTTGCTCGAGCAGGCCCAGTAACGTCTCCATTGGAGACTTTGTTGTTACTGTGTTTGGCATATCGAATACGTCATGGGGAGCTTGCCAGGCTCTGCCGTGCGGGCAAGAGACTCTCGGTAGCTTGCTGGGCTCTCCGAGAGGGGCGGAGGAATCGAACTCGGGTCGGCCATGTTGGCTGTGTGCAAGGCAGACGCCCTACTCGCTGTGCTACCGCTCCAGCCCACAGTAAGAACTATCACTGGCTTTTCAAATTAGTGAGGAAAGGAAGAATTATCCCACTGTTTCTGGGAACAGGCAGCTATCTGGGAAGAAGTGCATATTAATAGTTTTCTGTTTTGCTCACAAAAATTAATTTGTGTTAGGTTTATGATTTAAAACTAAAAATACAAAACTAAAGTGTATCGGAAGAGATTACTGGAAAAAGTGAATTTATAAACAAACGATCTTAAGGAAAATACAAAATGAAGAATGTATAAAAGAAAATGTAGTTTCACACTATATTTTCACATATAAATACAGTGTCACATTATACTACTTACACAGCTGTAAGAAAAGAACATGAATAGAAAACACTTCCATTCATGCAACAAATGACAGAAATCAGGGCTTAATGCCCGACTCTGCCAACTCTTCCACACCTCCCACAGCTGTCCTCATGTAAACTGACTGGCCCAGTCTTACAGATTTCATGACTAGTCTTGGAAGAGATGCAAGTCCAGCAGATAAAATTCAGGTACACTGGGGCTGGAGCAACAGCACAGCAGGTCGGGCATTTGCCTTGCACGTGGCCGACCCTGTGTTCGATTCCCAGCAACCCCTATGGTCCCCTGAGCACCGCCAGGAGTGATTCCTGAGTGCACAGCCAGGAGTAATCCCTGAGCATTGCCAGGTATGACCCAAAAAGAAAAAAAAAATTCAGGTACAGAGTCTTCCAGGTGAAAACTCTGGAGCCCCTTGAGGTGTCGAATGCCCACCCTGCTGAAACCTAGGCAGCTGTACCCACACCCTACGTCTGTTGCCAAACCAAAGGCCCAACTTAACTGCTTCACAACCAATCTCTGCAGAGATACCAAGCTGATGAAAATCCCAGGAATACCAGTTTGGGGCCTAAAAACTCTGGGGTCTTCTCAGTGTGGTGGCAGGCAGCCTCCCCACCCCCAGACTTCCAGAAGCCCCAGAAGCCATAACCACATTCCACACCTGCTTTCATGGAAACTCACTGGCACAGATCTACAGCTCCTGGAGCACGTGGCCACATATGAAGCCACGGAACCCCTCCAAATTCCCCAATACCCAATAGGAGCACACCAAATTAGATGAGGATGTTAACATAGAAGCCAACTAAGCTCAAGAGATCAAAACAGTAACAGAAGGCTCAACTAGCTTAGTAAGCCCTCAGACAACAGTTAATGACCCCGTTGTGAGAGATATAACAACATTTTTCACAAATTTTCTTTTACTAAAACATTTTGTGATAATTCCATTAGTCATTTAATTGTAACAAGCAGTATAAAACAATTTTGTGCCTGAGAAGGGCACAGGCTTGAGGGGTGGGTGGGAGACTGGGGAGAATGGTGAAGGTCGCACTGGCGATGGGATTGGAGTCAGAACACGGAACTCCTGAAACAACTATATTATAAAATATGTTGCAAACCCTGTGTTTAAGGTTTTTTTTTTTTCTTTTTGGGTCACACCCGGCGATGCTCAGGGGTTACTCCTGGCTCATGCACTCAGGAATCACTCCTGGTGGTGCTCAGGGGACCAGATGAGATGCTGGGAATCGAACCTGTATTGGCCATGTTGGCTGCGTGCAAGGCAAACGCCCTACCCGCTGTGCTATGGCTCCAGCCCCTAAGGTATTTTTTTAAAAAAAAGATGATAAATGAGGAATATTTTACATAGGGAACATACCAGTGTACAGAAAAGAATTACAAATTGATAACATGAGGAAAAAAATTGAGCTACGGCTTTCCTGATTAAACCTACAGACATTCCGAAGGGGTGATTATATACAATGTTGATACTCTTTTATACAATGTTGATACTCTTATGAGTAAAGGCTATAATGACTGGCACGCAGTATTGGAAATACCAAAATTCATCCTAGGAATTCTACTTCTGAAATGATCCTATAAAAATATTTGCACCAGGTAAAGGTAAAAGGTAAAGGCCCTCCCGTTGATCGTCGATTTGCTCGAGTGGGCCCAGTAACGTCTCCATTGGAGACTTTGTTGTTACTGTGTCTGGCATATCGAATACTCTCGGTAGCTTGCCGGGCTCTCCGAGAGGGGCGGAGGAATCGAACTCGGGTCGGCCATGTTGGCCGCTTGTAAGGCGAACGCCCTACCCACTGTGCTATCGCTCCAGCCCAACATTGGATTAAAAGAATAGAGTATCATATCATTACCACCATTAATATTTTTTGCTTTTTGAAGACGGCTTAGTCTAAGGAATTAGCTATGTAAATTATGGCATAAAAAAACGTAAGAATGAGAACCATGCAATCAAGAAAGAGAATCAGATTAACTACAAACTGAACAGAGGATATCTGTTATATATTGTTGGTGGTGAGAAGTGTCAGAGAAATATAGGTTGATAAGTAAGTTTGTATGTTTAAAAAACACCAGGAAAGGCACAGCAGAAAAGAATTACAAAGTTACAAAGGATATGGTCTGGGGTCCACAAAATTCTATTGGCAGTAACCAGTTGGCCTACCTCCAGACTAGAAAAGTTCACAGGGCATTAAAGGTAGAAGGACATGTTTCCTCAGTAGAGGAAAAATTCAGAGTGAACACTGTATCTGAATCCCTAACAAATTAAAAAAAAGAAAAAAGCAGGCAGAAAAAGGGAAATTTTAAATTAAGGACTCCCCCCCCACCCCCGTCCCCCAAAGGCACAAGTAAATTATTTTAGGCATACAAAGATATACAGCCCCTGCAGGGTAAAATTACATGCCTGATATCTAATCTAGATCGCCAGCCCTACAAATTTGCAGGAAAACACAACTTAGAAAGAGATAAATAGACAGTCAAAACCAATGTAGAACCAATACAGATGGTAAACCACCAGAGAACATTTTAAAGTATTGTATTACCAATGTTAAATTGGTAGAAAGAAAAAGATATATATATATACATAAAAAAAGATCCAAACTATAGTTCTAAAGATGAAAATGACAATGTCAGAAAATTAAATATACTCTGAAAGGGAAGGTCAGAAGCAAAAGAAAAAGTCAATAATCTGCAAGTATTTTAAATACAAAATTCTCCAAGATGAAACTGAAAAGTTAGAAATTAAAAAGGAAAAAAAAGCCTCAGTGAGCTATGTAGCCAAATATTTTGAATAAACAGTTTCTGAAGGAGAAGCATGAGAGGAAAAAGTACTGAGAGAAATAAGACTAATTTTTTTCAATTTGAAAATAACTGTAACCTCACACAAAATGATGACTTTGTGTGATGTTACTAAAACAGTACTTTGAAGAAATAAATGAAAGGTAGCCCTATTGGAAAACATAAAAGGGTCTCACATAAAAGACTAGCTATAATCTTAAGAAACAGACAAAAAAAGCAAACTAAATTCCAAGAAGATGAGAGAACGCAGGAAACAAAGGTTAATATGCAGGGCAAAAATAATGAAATAGAACCATCAGCTATTAAAATAATTAGGAAATATCATGAACAACAGTTGACAAATTGGAAAAATTAGATGAACACAATCATTCTTCCAAAGATAGAAATTAACCAAAATTCACTCTGAAAAAAAAAGATACTCTGAAAATAAAATAAACGCAGCATTCCAAGTGGGCAAGGCAAGTGTAACATTCAAAAGACAACATAATTTACTACATTAACAAATCAAAGAGGGCACTCTATCAAAAAACATTTCACATGATTGCACGTCC